CCAGGTTCTTCATTAGGTAAGCACAGCACCAAGAAAAAAAAGATTGCACATAACAAACGTGTAATGAGTGACTAAAATAAAATGTAAAAACATGATGTCACGCATAACAGGAATTGAAGCGGAAAAGGAAGTCCCACACACTTAAATGTAACTAATGGCTGATTCTTGTCAGCTGTACAAAACCTGACTCCAAAATGAAGGCGAGGTTTTGGCTTAATAACAAGAATGAGTGCATCATTGCAGATTGGACGATGAATTTAGAGGTAAGTGGAGTTTCTATTTAACCAAGCCGGTTTCTGTGTTGTGTTGTGATAGTTTTAAATGATGCTTCTACATGATTTCATTGATGACCACAATTTATTCTTTGGCAGAGACAGAATGACACAGTTCTCCTCTCATCCAGCTCCTCTCCCACATGGAACTGTACAAAAGGAGCCTGGGACAACATGAAACATGGAAATAAAAACTACATGTACAATAAAACATACCTGGCAGAGACCGAATGACACACAGAGCTAGCATGGAAAGTTCCCACATCACTCTAACACATACAGTAAGTTAGCTCAGCTATCTAAATAACTGACCTCTATGTGACATGTAAAGTAAATTCATTATGACAGGAAAAAAAAAAAACAAGACATGGTTAGAAACAACTAAAACACAAAAGAGAAGGGGCTGGATTAAGATAATAAATTAACTGAAAAAATGCACCCACCTCTTCCAAAGGAAAATCATAATTGTACAAAATGGAGAAGAAAACAGAGGAAGTAGGGGGTGCAAACTACAACAAAAGTAGCCAATCACTGAGTCCTGAGTGTGTTTCAGTCAAACGTACAACAGAACAATGCCAGGTATTTTGATGTAACTCTAAAACGATAAACAGAAGTGTAAATATGAGCCTGTTGCATGCTCTATCTAAACACCTCTGGCTTGTAGGAGATTCATGAACAAACATGAAGTGTATCACTAAAGCATTTGACACTTTTGCCATGTGTGGTATACCATCTCATGGTATGTGATTCAATATAACAGTTCTGCCATAAATGTGTCCTTTAGAAATATATAAATAGATAAAACTGTCAGATTATATGAACAAGTGATTTTATAATTTATGCATGCTTAAAATAAATGTCCTCAATGATTGCTCAAGAGGTTGAGCAAAATGAATGGAGATACTTGACTGAGTTTTATTTAGAGTGCTGCTAATATTTTGTTCACCTCATTTTTACATGAGAAGAGCAGATTATTATACACACTTTTCATTTTGATGCACCATATACATACAGTACAGGAGTTCCCAAACTATGCCATGCCCCCATATAGCATTAGCCACTTGCTAGGACCCCCCCTCTTGCAAAATTCCTAAAAATGATTTCTCTTCATTACATTCAATATTTATTTTAGTCTTTTCTTTTTTAATGGATCGATTTTTTGAGAAACTGAATTATTGAATGAAAAATATTGGACCTCACATGGTGGTACGAAACATGTGACACAGCAAAGAGAAGGAACAAAACTTATATATTTTAAGAGCGCTTCATAGACTTTTTGACACGGTTTTTTTGCAGTCAAATGTTCCCACTGAAAACATCTCTGTGACCCACTTTTGGGTCCTGATCCACCAGTTGAGAACCACTGCACTAAAACACCACTTCCCAGAAACTCAAAAATAAACTGATGGTGTCACCTTTCTGATACAGTCAATAAATACAGACAAACTATAAGCTGTTTAGAAGCTGAACTTATGGATCTGTTCTATTGTGATATTGTGGTTAGTATACATGAAGGCAAGTCCAAAATAACGAGCCTGGCAAATTTGTCAGCTGATAATAAAACCTTAAATTGTCAAAGAGATGCTTCTTGAGAAATGTCTTTAAGAGTTTTAAAGTTGCTGCTCTCAGATTCAGATGAAGGAAAGAAACGTGAGGACAAATCCAAAAATGCTGTGAGAAATGAAATCCAAGCTGATGAATCTGAACCCCTCAAAACAGGTTTGGAAACATTATTTTGGGAAATGATTTCGCCACTTTAATAATGCTAATTGGTGTTGTATTTTATATCGTTGGAAAGCCTGATTAGTCACCTTTACAATGAGTTATAACATGTAAGGATCATGCATTCGTGAATTGAGTAACACAGCTAAGCATGTGGGTAGCGCCCTAAAAAAATGTTCCAAAATCCCCTGCAATCTTCTTCTGTTGGTATTCACTCCTGGTATGAGTTGCTTGGTGGAATTGAAGATTGCACTCTCCCACAGTAATACGTTTTTTACACTGTCTTGGACCTCAGTAGCGTGAGGATGATCCATACAAGGCCACAACAGCTTGGCCCCTCCTCCTCATGCTGGTCACCAGCCTGGTCACATTCTGCTGTGGGATGGCATCCCATTCCTCAACCAGGAGTTGTTGAAGGTCAACCAGCGTGGTTGTGTTGGTCACTCTGGCATGAACAGCATGCCCAAGATGATCCCACAAGTGCTGTCAATCAGGTGCCAGTCATACACCCGTAACTGGCACACACCCGGCAGGACTTGAAGCTCAAAACAGGAGTGATTACCAACAGAAGAACATTGCATTTTTGTCACATTTTTTTAGGGCGCTAGCCACACGTTTAGCTGTGCTGCTCATTCCACGAATGCAGGATCCTTACAAGTTATACCTCGTTGTAAAGGTGACTAATCAGGCTTTCCAACGATATAAAATACAACACCAATTAGTATTATTAAAGGGGCGAAATAAGTGACCAAAATAACGTTTCCAAACTTTTTTTGAGGAGTTTATTAAACACACTGTGTCTTTAAGAAATCATTTGTTTGTCCTGCTTAGTTGTCCAGTATCTGTTCGTCCAATGATTGAGCACGCCTCTCTTTCACTCTCCTGTGGGGTAAATCATAAATTAACAAGAATAACCCTGACTGGGCTGAAATGGCTTCCTAATCTAATCACACACACACACACACACACACACACACACACACACACACACACACACACACACACACACACACACACACACACACACACTCACACTCTTACATATACAAGATAAGACACATCTGAAACGTTGTGTTGTATAAAGTCAATCAATAACTCTATAGTTATCTTTCTATCATTATCTTTTTATTTTGTTTCCTGTGTATAGCTGTAAATCTGACTGACTTTAATTTTAATACACATTTCTGAAAAGGCAAAATCATCAACTCTAAAATAACAACAAAATCTTGCACTAACTTGCTCTGTCAATCATAAAACAAGCATGTATTACTTTGCCCTGTCCCTCCTCAACAATGTCTAATTTCTTATCTGCTTTATCCTGGTTTGAGAAGCAGCGGAGACATATCACAGACAGTCTCACCATCACGCAGAAAGGACACCGAGGAGAGAGGAAGAATACATGTACTTGGATATTTTATGTCTTTTATTTTGACTTGAATTTTGTGTTGTTTAAAGTCAATCCTTTTCTTAACGAGGTCAAAAGCAATCACATCTTGTTGTTGGGAACGCCTGGAGCTGCTTTGATCTGATGGAAAACTCTACAGAAGATTCAACTTGAAGACCTGCAAACACTGAAAAGCAGGAAGGATTCATTTATCATGAATATGGATGTACCACCTTCTGATTTCAGGAACTTATTTTAGGCTTCGGGTTTATTTTACAACCCCTCAGTAGAAACAGTGTGGTTGGATATACTTCCTCCAAACTGGAGAAACTAATTGACGTCAAAGGAGAAGAGAAAACATTATCCCCCTTGTAAAGCGGAACTAAACAGCTTGGTACATCTCGGGGCTTCAAGAACTGAACTTTTGGTAAAAATTGCAGCAGAATAGTAGTTCACTTGGATTTTGAAAATAATTTATCACAAGAAACATTTTCTCAGGAACAGCTGGACCAAAAAAGGTAACTATTTAAGTGACAAAGTGTTGCTTCTGAGATAAACAGTCACAGAGTAAATATGAATGAATGTTTAATGTACACGAAGAATACAGAACTGCATTGTTTTCACCTGTCGTTGTACCCAAACATTGTTTAAAATGTAAAGAAAGGTTAATTCTTCGAAAGATATATTTTTAAGCTCTTCCTCATACAATTTGAAAACACATGGTGGAATATTTGCAATCAAAAACCCAGCATTTGAAAAGAGGCTGTTTTCTGTTTATGTTTCAGATAGTCGTAGCCATGGCAGAGAGGAGGCGACCGGGCTACAGCGTGCACAGGAGCGTCCTGGATGAAGGAGCAGTGGAGGAGATGGCAGAAAAATGTGAAACGAAATCATCTTTGTCTGAGAAGGTCAAGAAGTCTGTGAGGTAAAGTTTCCAACAGCAACTAGACAACCTTAACAAATCTCTCTGCACATATAGACAGATATAGTTTCTGTTTTGTGTAAATATATGACTCTGTATCAGAGAACCAATCATACAGCATAGTGTCCAATCCTGTGTACACATAATGGGGGTACTCGGATTCAAAAATCAACAGTTTTTAGAATATAGAATAGTTTTCAATGTTTAAAATAAAGTGCTACATTTAATGAAAAATACAAGTAAACTATAGTCTGAATTTTGATTACATTAAACAGTCTATCAAAAGAACACCTCTCAGTCAGTACGTTTTAATTGATGAAGAAATAATATGATAAATCTACCTTTATAACATCACTTTATAAAAGTTGTACAGACATTAGCATATCACAAAAGTATCTGAAGGTTTCATAATAAATTCATTGGTGATGTATATGAAGAGATGTTCATTTTCTGTGTCTATCTAGAATAAAAGTTTCTTGAAACAATCTCATGAGTTGCTGTATTCACACATGCACAAAACACCCGATATTTCTGGAAATGATTAGGTGAACTGCATGTGTGAATGTTAACAGCAACAGCCACATTTTTTACACCAACATTACGCAGTCAATTGTCAGAGGGGGTGATGACATCAAATTCATGAGACCACTGAGCCACTGGTGCGATCTTCGTGCAAGAGTAAAAACAGTTTCATATTAATATTGTGTATACATCCAAAAACAGGCAGCACTAATAAAGAGGAAAGAATTGACATTGTAAGGTTAGACTCTTCGCCCCACGCTTCAGATAAACATCTTAGCATCCATTTCACTTCATGTCCTGCCTTCTTAGACCCCTCCCCCCATCATCATCACGCCCATTCCCTGAACCGTCCAACAGAGAAAACCAGGGACATGCGTGAATACCAGTAATAAAGCAAATGCACAAGTTCACAAAATGTGCAGTCCCTTGAGTGTCCACTTGAGGCTGGCTAACCGAAAGTTGGGTTGGGAAAACCTTTTCTATATAGTGACTGCCATAGTTGGGCTTCAAAGTGCCCTTCCAGTAACCAATGGGTGACATCACTGAGACTACGTCAATGTTTTATACAACATGCTGTATATGCTATGTGCTGTCTTGAGATTTCTAGACATTGACTATGTGAATACCAGAAAAAGGATTTGAGTGTTCCTATTGACAGTAAATTCTTGTTCCTTGGTCACCTGTTTACAACATAAACACACACCACATTTACACAAATGATATCACGTGACAAAAAAAGTAAATATTTTACATTCAATGTTTTGCAGGGCATAAACTTAAACAAACATACTGTCACCAGGCAGAGAGGATGAATGGTCATTTATTAACTTTTTTACTGAAAACAAGTTGAGTCAGTGGCAAACGCTGTATCACTACCACATATTGATATATACACCACATCATATTTGAGCATGAATACCAATTTAAAAGAAATGAAACCCCTCTTCCTTTTCTCTTCACACACACACACTAAGGTGTTCTGGTCCCAGGATGAAGAGCTGCCTGCTGGGTAGTGTCCCTGTGTTATCATGGCTGCCTCGATACTCCCTCAGAGAAAATGCGCTGGGGGACCTGATCTCAGGGATCAGTGTGGGCATCATGCAGCTGCCTCAAGGTGAGGATAAAGGTTCAGGTCTTAGAGTTTAAGTGGAGCGGGACAGGTAGAAGATATTGAAGAGCTGTTGTTGTTAAAATCAATTTATTTTTGAAATGGTAATCTTCAGGTTGTGCATTATTGTTTTGTTACTTCACACATTTGATCCTCCTTTGTGTGATCATCATTTCTCTGCTCCCTCTGAAGGTATGGCATACGCTCTGCTAGCATCCGTTCCTCCAATCTTCGGCCTTTACTCCTCCTTCTACCCAGTGCTGATCTATTTCATCTTTGGCACATCCAAGCACATCTCCGTCGGTTTGTACTTTGCAAACATTACATTGTCTGTATCTGCACACTGTGACATTTCCTCAGTGCTTATTTAACAAGAAACATTCATACACAACTCAGTTTACAAAGAATTAAATTATTTGGTCTTCAGATTTGATTGACATCAGCAAACATTTGTCTTTAACAAATTCTGAATGGAGGAGAGGACCAGCCATCGTGAGGATGTTTTCCCCATTCTGTATTCCAATTCAAACTTTTCATGTACAAAATCTTTATTGCTGTTCCAGACCATATGGTTAACAATCATATATATGTTCATGTTAAGATGTTTCAACTTCCCTTTCTGGATCAAAGTTGGGTGAGCGAAATATTGTGTCTCGCAGTAGTTTATGTTGTTATTTAACCAGCGTTTTTTTACGTCTCCCTCCTCCAGGAACATATGCAGTAATGAGTGTGATGATAGGAGGGGTGATAGAGCGAGTGGCCCCAGACTCCAACTTTATGATATGGGACAATGTGACGAACTCCACTACAGTGGATATCATCACCAGGGACGCAGAGAGAGTCCGGGTGGCTGCAGCCGTCACTTTATTATCTGGATTATTTCAGGTAAAACTGTGGATCATGTTGATACTCTGGTTTGGTCAGATATTTGGGATTTATTCAATCTTTTTTTTTTTTTGACGATGATATTGAGATGAGATGAGATGAGATTCAACTTTATTGTCATTACACATATACAAGTATAGAGTAACGAAATGAGGTTTGGCATCTCACCAGAAGTGCAAATAAGCAGAAAGTGCAAGAGTCTGTGCTATGTACAGTAATTACAAAATTTACAGATGTAGACTAAAAAAAGTGAATTATTAGGTATATATGGATGGCTGGATTAATGGGATGCTATAAATATAAATAAATGCTATAAATATAAGTGTATTTTTAGGATTATAAGATACAGATTAAGGTGCAGTGAGCATGCTATACTAGTTTACAGATAATATAAAGAATATGGACATACTATAATACAATAATACAGGTGGATGAGAGATGTGTGTGTGTGACCAGGAGGAGTGGTGGGGGGATGATGGGTGTGAGGTGATGTGCAGGGGAAGGGGGGGGGTCAGCAGGGGGCGGAGAGAGAGAGGGAGAGAGAGAGAGAGACAGAGTTCAGAGTTCGGGGGGTAGAGTTCAGTAGAGAGACAGCTCTGGGGAAAAAGCTGTTCCTCAGTCTGCTGGTTCTGGTCCGGAGGCTTCTGAAGCGCCTGCCGGAGGGCAGGAGGGTAAACAGTCTGTGGGCAGGGTGGGAGGAGTCTTTAAGGATGCCGTGAGCTCGCCGCAGACAGCGTTTTCTTTGGACATCCTCAATGGCAGGAAGTGGACACCTTGTGATGCGCTGGGCGGTTTTTACCACCCGCTGTAGCGCCTCACGGTCTGTGACAGAACAGTTTCCATACCAGACTGAGACACTGCTGGTCAGGATGCTCTCGATCACACAGCGGTAGAAGTTCATCAGTACAGCTGAAGACAGGTGGTGTCTCTTCAGTGTCCTCAGGAAAAAGAGGCGTTGATGAGCCTTCTTAACCAGACTGGAGGTGTTAGTGGACCAGGAGAGGTCCTCTGTGATGTGGGTCCCCAGGAACTTGAAGCTGGAGACACGTTCAACAGCCATCCCGTTGATGTGAATGGGGTTGTGCGTGCTTCCTCTTTCTTTCCTGAAGTCCACGATGAGCTCCTTCGTCTTGCTGGTGTTGAGGAGCAGGTTGTTGTCAGCACACCAGGCGGCCAGATGCTGTACCTCCTCCCTGTAGGCCGTGTCATCGTTGTTGCTGATGAGGCCAATCACCGCCGTATCGTCCGCAAACTTGATGATTGTGTTGGATCCATGTACATGTCTGCAGTCGTGGGTGAAGAGGGAGTAGAGGAATGGGCTCAGCACACAGCCCTGTGGTACGCCTGTGTTGAGTGTGATGGTGGTGGAGCAGGTGTGTCCTGACCTAACATACTGGGGTCTGTTGGTCAGAAAGTCCATTATCCAGTGACGGAGGGAGGTGTTGAAGCCCAGGTCTCCGAGTTTAGTGTTTAACTTGGAGGGGATGACAGAGTTGAATGCTGAGCTAAAATCAACAAACAGCATTTGTGCGTATGTGTTGTTATTGTCCAGATGTGTGAGCACAGAGTGCAGCGCAGTGGAAACTGCATCCTCTGTACTCCTATTGCTGCGTAGGCAAACTGGTATGGGTCCAGTATGGGTGGGAGGCAGTTTTTCAGGTGTGCTAGAACCAGTCGCTCAAAGCACTTCATTATGATGGGTGTGAGTGTTACAGGGCGGTAGTCATTCAGGCCTGTCGGGCTGGAGTGTTTCGGCACTGGGACAATGGAGGTGGCTTTGAAGCATATTGAAGCATATGAATTTGATATTCATGCAAAACTGAGAATATGTTCTATTGAAGTTAAATGGTAAATGGAGTAGAGCTTCTATAGCCCTTTTCTGGTCTTTTGACTACTCAAAATGATTTTACACTGCAGGTCAAACCTATACATTCACACACTGATCTTAGAGACTGCTGTGTAAAGTGACCATCAGAACTAACTGATCCCATTTATACACATTTATACACATTCACATGCCACTGATGAAGCAACGGGTGCCACTTGAGGTTAAGTGACTTGCCCAAGGACACTTTGGACATGTAGCTGCAGGAGCTGTGCACAGCCGCCAGTTGAGATTGTTTGGATGGACACACACACAGGTTATGTAAAAATAAAGATTAAAAAAATTAACTTACTAAGATTAAAATACTGCACAAATACTAAAGGTGTGCATGGCTCTTTCCAGTACATTATAACAAAAGCTATCAAATGATCACTTACAATAACTTTTTTTATCACTCTGCCTTTTACCATCAATGGAGGAAGGGGACTTCTTTCCATTTTTATATGTTTTTAATTCGATGTGGACCCATCTTTAGTCTGGTCATCCAGCTAGGGAAATCTTGGCTCCTTCAGCATACAACATCAGCTTTGAATAAAAACATTGTTCCTCTGTTATTTCTATGATAAATAAGCAAGAGTATTTTGGGTATGGAGTTTTTTCTTATAGCTAGCAGTCAATCATGACTTAAGAAGTTTGTAATTCTAAGACTAAATGTTATGCACAGGACTGAGTGAGGGTAAAATCTAATTTCTATTACTGATCATGAAGCCAGAGGTGACTACTTTCCTGCTCTTTATGTGTGTCTCTTTTCTTTTTGTGTGTAATCTTTGTAGATTTTGCTTGGCCTGGTCCAGTTTGGCTTTGTTGTGACCTACCTCTCTGAGCCGCTGGTTCGAGGTTACACCACGGGAGCTGCCATTCACGTCATCGTGTCCCAGCTCAAATATACCTTTGGTATCAGCCCCGTGAGATACAGTGGACCCTTCTCATTGTTATACGTAAGAAAGAAGACCATCACGGTCAATATTATCTGCATGCTCAGTATTTAAATTTAAAGGAAAAATGTGCAACATTTCACTCATAAATATAGCAGAAGTCAAGTATATCCTGTGTAAATGTCTCTCTGAATGATGACTGTCTACAATGACTAAAAAGCATGAGTCCTGCTGGCTGTGTTGTCAGAGCCGTGTTAACATCATGTTTTCATGGATGGGATAGCCAACTCCTCCCATTGTGTATAAAAACTGTTTTTGTCACGTAAGTGTCTTTAGATCTCAATCAATCCATGTCAATTTACTTGCAATGTGAAACTACGCGCTAAATAAAGTGTGCTAGCGTTAGCCTGCTAACACCACAATGTAGGTCAATTACAGCTTGAGCCAAGGACAATTCTGTCCGTTGTTTGCGCTTAATGGTGCTTAATTATAGTGCGTTCCATTTGATAATTCCTTTGTGCAAACGCGAGGGGAGCGGGGTTGGAGGTGTGTTGCAGGGAGCACAGGATTCAGTATGCACCAAACAGCAGTTTGTTTTGGTTTCATGCTGGTCCTCAAGGACGATATCTACGAGTGTCTCCATCTCCTTTTGTTTTACAAAATTGAAGCAAAAATACCCCCAGACCAGTACTGACATAATGCACATCAGTTAGAGCAAAAACATGGGTAGAAACACAAACACGCCCCTACTGCTAACCAAATAAAACTCACCAATAAATCACCAAAGATCCCTCAGCTCAGTATGGTCAACATCAGAACAGATTCTTGTGTCTGTTTAAAGCAGACACTCACAGTTATGGAAATAATGACTCATGTGTTTGTTCTGTCACTCTTGCCCTCTCTCTTCCAATCAGCTAATCTGGGAAAGAATGCTGCTGGAGCGTCATTGGTCGACAAAGCTTGCTATATATCATGATGTTACAGCCGCTCTTTTTTTGCATCAAATAAGTAATTAAAACTTAACTTTCTCAGAACACTTGAAAATAGATCAGCATGATAAGAACTAACAGACACCTTGTTTTAGAAAAAAAAATATTTTAAAGTTTGCGTTATGTTCCATCTGTTAGCACGAATAGGTGGGTTTCATGACCTTTCCTGCAGTGGGTCAGCAGGGGGAGCTCTAAATACTTTGGCTTCACTTCTCAGGAGCTCTTGTTATGTTCTTTCTTTGTACAGTCTATGGTATTAATCAAACACCTTTTCCGTTATCAATCACTTATACTCATTGTTTTATCTGCATAACATAAAATCACCAAAACAGATGATGCCATGGTTTTCTAAAGTACTTTGGTGTGTTGTTATAATTTCTTCTATTACAAGCATTTAAGCGCAGTTTCCTTCTTTTCAGACTGTGTTGGAGGTGTGTTATATCATCCCAGAGACCAACATTGGTACTCTTGTGGTCAGTATCGTCGCTATAATTGGCCTCATCCTCGCCAAGGAGCTCAATGCATTCTTGAGTAAAAAACTGCCTATCCCCATACCTGTGGAACTGCTTGGTGTAAGTAAACAGATACATACATGTACCTATAGGCTAATATACTACATGAAATGTTTGGTTTTATTTACAAAGATGAAAACAAACACATGAACCTGCTTTTAGACCTATACCCTCTAAATCATCTCTTCGGGTCTTTTTCTCTAGATTGTCGTTGCGACTATAATTTCCTGGCAGGTGAACCTGAATGATAAATATGGAGTGGATGTGGTGGGGCTGATTCCCTCTGGGTGAGAAGCACACACAGCACATATAGGATTGTTGTTAACAGATGTAAAAGGGACATATTTGGATGTGTTGTACTCTGTCCATGTCAACCAGTCTCCAGCCTCCTGTCGTCCCAGTAGCCTCTCTGTTTGGTCAGTTGATTGGGGACGCCTTTGCGCTGGCTGTGGTTGGTTATGGCATTGCCATCTCACTGGGACGAATCTTTGCCCTCAAATATGGATACAAAGTGGACAGCAACCAGGTATAGAAGTAGAAGATGAACTGGTCTTATTACATTGCTATTGGTCACTTCTGTGTGTTTTTTTGAATTTGTACTAAAAAAAAGTCTGCTTTAGGAACTAATCGCACTGGGTCTGAGTAACTCCGTCGGAGGATTTTTCCAGTGTTTTGCCATCAGTTGCTCCATGTCTCGCACCATGGTTCAGGAGAACACAGGGGGGAAGACTCAGGTTGGTACGAGTGGATGTTATTCAGCTGAAGTGAGAAACTCAAAAAATGCAGGTTTTTACTATCATCAGTCTGTGAAGGCTGGTTGAGGAAAAGTCCAGACATCATTTAGATTATGTGACCATGTATGGTCTAGTTGGTATATTTTAATTTGACATGAATGTTTAAGAAGATACATTTTCAGACCAGTGTTTTCATCCCAGCACTTTTCTTTTCCCATAGCTTCAGATTTGGGCAATCTTAAGGGTGAAACAGAGTGAAATGTAGGTCAAACAAATGAATGTTCGTCTGATAAGAAGCATCATTCAATAAAACTTAGGGAATTTCTCCCATCGTTGAAGTCCACCTACACAAACGTATGTTTGCTCAAAGGCTAAACCAATTATTCCTGACAACATCATAAATCAGCTGAGGCCTGTTGAGGAGAGGAGAGGAGGCTTTAACTCTTCTTATAATCATGAACCAATTCACCCTAAGAGGCACATCATCATCCATCTCTTTTGTCATTTTCTCTTTAACTCTCTTCCTCTAATCTCTCTCCCCTGATTTCCATTCATCATGCCTCTTCATTCACTCTCTCTCTTCACTGCAGGTTGCTGGAGCTCTATCAGCAATAGTTATCCTTTTCATCACACTCTGGATTGGAAGATTCTTTGAAGAACTGCCCAAGGTACTGTGAGGGCATTTGCCTGTATTCACATTTGTGCACAAAATAAGTGCATGTACTGTATGTGTTGGAGTCTGGGAGTGAATGTATTTGCAAAAGGAAAGCGCACTATGCACTCAGAGGAAGGGAAATATGAAAATAAAATAATGTGCTTTTTAAATATGTACTTCTCCTTCTTCAGAGCGATGCTTCTTTAAAACATCTAGACTAACATCTATAACTATATTGATATATGTAACATTATTCACCTGAAATAAGTGTTAATTTCAACTCTGCAAATAAAATGTTTGATTTAAAGATGAAAGCACATGAAGCTTCAAGAAATACATTTTAAAGGAATACATGGCAAACCTTCAGACTTTATTCTTCAAATGGAAGCTCTCCATATAAAATTGTTATACTCTACTCACCCGCAGGCAATGCTGGCTGCCATCATCTATGTCAACCTCCATGGCATGATGAAACAATTCTTGGACATCCCTGCGCTGTGGAAGAGCAACAAGATAGACATGGTGAGTGTTTTTTTTTAGACTAGAAAATTGTTTTATATTTTAGGATGTTCTGCACTAATGTTCATGTCTTCAGGCTGTTTTTCTTTTAACAATCCCATTAAAGAGTTGAGTAAAATGTAGTTACAAACAGAATTGGATGATTTGAAACCCCATGTTTGATTGAAAATAGCACATAGACAACATGCCTAATGTTGAAATTGAGGTTTTGAAATGTTTTGGGTATATGAAATGCCCATTTATGAAACTGATGCTGACAACGTGTTTTAAAAAAACAAAGTTGGGACAGTGGCAACAAAAGACTAGAAAAGATGTAAAATGCTTAAAAATCCCCTGATGGAACATCTCAGTTCATTTAATTGGCAACAGGTTAGTAACATGATTTGGTATAAAACCAGCAACCCAGAGAGGCTGAGAGAAGTAAAGATGTGAAAGGGTTCACCACTCAGTGAAACACTAAGAATAATATTCTTCACATTAAATTGTGAACAAAAGCTGTGGATTTCTTTGTATTTAGCATACAATTTGGTTAAAAGATTGAGAGAATCTAAGGACACACAAAGGACAAGGCTGCAAATGAATATTGGATAGCCCTCAGACAGCCCTGGAATAAAAACTGACATGAGCGCAGTTCATCGCTGCATTCATCACTGCAAGATGAAGAAATACAGGTTTTGGAGCGACATATGATGCCAAATAGAATTCTTCTTTTTAAGGGAAGGCCTTGTTTATTTGAGCAAGTCAATGCCAAACCCCCATTCTACATGGCTCTAAAGTAACAGAGTAAAGGTGATAAACTGGCCACCTTGGCACCCTTTGAAATGTTTGAAACAGTAAGCGTAAAATAAGACAAAGGAGACCCTGAACTGCTGAAATCCTCCATGAGGCAAAAATGGTTAAACATCCTACAATTAAAATGTCTTTCTCTTCAGCTCCCAAAAGCTTGAACAGTTTTGTTAAAAAAGGATGTAATGCAAATGAGTGTAAAAGGTCGCTATTTTCAATCAAATATGGGGTAATAATTTTAAAATAATCACATTCTGTTTTCTTTACATTTGACAGCGTCTCAACTTTGTTAAACTGGTAATCACAGCGATGCTTAGTGTAGTGTAAAAAACACTTTAAACCTTGAGGGATGACATAATATCAATCTTCTAACTCTTGCAGTTGCCTGCTCTTATAAGTACCGATACTAGATTAATAGTTGCTGGAGATGTTGTTTGCTTTCCCTCTCTTCCTCACCGTCTCTCATTTGTTCTTTATCTCCAGGTGATCTGGGTGGTCACCTTCATCCTCACCGTTCTGTTCAACCCTGACCTGGGTCTGGCGGCTTCCATCGGTTTCTCCATGCTCACTGTCATCTTCAGGACACAACTGTAAGAATAATAAGGATAGGGGCGCGCTGGTGGCGCAGTGGCAGGGCGCACGTCCCATGTGTTGAGACTCTCGTCTCGAGCGGTAGGCCTGGGTTCACTTCCACCCATGGCCCCTTTCCACATGTCATTCCCCGCTCTCTCTCCCTGGTTTCCGACTCTATCCACTGTCCTCTCTCTGCATTAAAGGCATGAAAAAGCCCAAAATAAATCTTAAAAAAAAAAAAAAGAATAATAAGGATATGTTCCTTTGGGCTCACACACCATGACTGATGCAACAACACCCACATTTCAAACTAACCCACATGATTTGTTGGAGAGTGTATAAAGTTGAACCGCACCCAAAAGCTAACTTGGCTTTTCTCTTACAGACTGCTCCTTAACACTTAGTAATGCAAATTATTCATTCAGATATTTGTTTGTTGTGTTTCCAGACCAAAATACTCCCTATTAGGGCAGGTCCCAGACACTGACATTTACAGGCCGCTGGAGGACTACAATCAGGTATGACACGATTGTATTCTTAATAACATAATAATAACAAACCAGGAGCTATGATAAGCCCTGGTCAGGAGATAAACGATACTCAGAGCTGTCTGACTGATGTCAGCAGACCAAACACCGTCTGCACGCTCTGTTAGGGGAACTGTTTATAAAAGCACACCTGTCACTTTTGTTCCTTTAATCATAACCAGGAGTCAAATATAGAGATGTGAATGTGAGCTATGTATCCCTCAGCATTTCATCATAGTGCACTCCACTGTCACAACTGACCTTATCTCTGCATGTTTTTTCTAACTATTTTGTCATTTTGAAATTTAAACTCAGCTTGTGCAATGTTTAAAATATGTCCAAGTGTCATTAATGCCAATTTTCAGTGAAAAAAATGTTCAGAGTACAGAAGAGCTGGACATAGAAGTTTGGCCCATATTCTTTTGAAAGGCAGAGTTGTGTTTTAACAGGCTTTAATACGGAACCAATGAAAGCACACACATCAGTGAAAACACAACACAGGAAAATCAGAGCAGGATTAATTCACTGATCTGTACTGTACAAAACAGAATGGATGTATCTCTTTTAAACTGCTAGGGAGAAAATATGTAGTCCTGAAGGAAGGAATATTTGTACCACTGTTACTTTTCTCTACCCTAGTTTAACTATGTAATTGTGCAAGGTTATCATGACATATTTTCTTGAAATGGGATGCCTTTATGTACTGAGAATCTAAGATATGCAGTGATATGTTTCCCTGTTTTATATGTTTCATTCATTAACTGACCATTTCATTTTAGGTGAGGAAGGTGCCAGGGATTTTGATCTTCCGCTCCTCTGCAACCCTCTACTTTGCTAATGCTGAGATGTATCAAGAAGCCCTGGGAAGGAAGGTAAGAACACACACACACACACACACACACACACACACACACACACACAATAATAAAATAACATACTGTATACATTCAGTAAAATATCACCTTTGTTGCAAATATGCAGCACATGTGCTTCAGAATTTAAAATAGAAATGAACAATAACGGGGCGCAGGATAGCCTAGCTGTTATGTTGCGTGCCCCATGTACAGAGGCTGTAGTCCTCAACGCAGGTGCTGTGGGTTTGAATCCGACCCCGGCCCTTTGCTGCATGTCATCCCCCAATTCTCTCTTCCCAACATTTCCTGTCTCTCTTCAGCTGTTCTATCCAAAAAAGGCATAAATGGCCCCCAAAAAATAAGAAATTAATAATGACAAAGCTCAAAAAGCCATTTGAAATAAAAACACTATCATAACACCAGCAAGGTCAACCAATATAATAAGGCAAACATGGATCATTGGTGTTTTTTTCAATATATCCAGAGGGAAGGTGCTGGAATAAGCTCTGAGGGAAGGCTGTTTTAAGATTTATTGTTATTATTCCAGATTTCTTGTGGGACACTTCAGATACTTAAAAAAGGCAGCAAAAGATCTGAGAGTTTGTCTTTGGACATAAAAGGAAAAGCAGACAGTGATATATGTTGGTGCTAGATTACATTAGGCTTTGTAGGTCTTTAATATGTATTCTTAATGATACAAGTTGTCGGTGTAGTGGTGCCAGCAGATGAAGAATGGGATCTCTACTCTTCGGATTTTTCAAATGGCTGTAACACTCAGAATGAACTGTCTTTTGCAACCTTCAAAAAAATAGTTTTCATTATCTATGCAGCTTGTATTAAAAGTATGTATCAACATTTTGGAGACCTTCTGAATTCAAAAAGAATCTTTTGAGATTTTGGTCATGTTCCCCTGATGAAAAGATCAAGCTTTTTTCAACATTGTTAAAATATCAGGAAAATTCTGCTCCTAAGTCTGTTACATATGTTTGTATTTGCTGACTCCTGTCTCTACCATTGTTCTTTGAGGGAAAGCATGTTGTCAAAGTCCCTCAGACGAACAAATGCATTTCCCATCTCACAAATACAACCAGCCAAGATCTTTAGCCAATCAGAGAGGTCCACCCATGAGGTTTTTGTTTAGGAGTAAGACCACAACCGGACCTCATTCATCAGCAATATTAGTTGAACTGAACATCCTTAAGAACCCTCATCCCCTTCACATTTTTAATCGCAATGTCAACATTTTAATCAAGGGCCTTTTACAGGAAGAACTTGTATTACAGTAAACAAAAAGTCCTTAAGAGCTTCCAGCAGACCCTCCGCCTCCCCCATAGCCTCCAAATAAACATCCTCCTCGCAGGATCCCATCGGTCAACTGGACCCTGTAAGCTATGTTTCTCCTTTTCACTTATGTGATATATATTGCCTGAACAAGAAGATTTCCCAACCTCCTTGGTCTCTTCTAATTTTCTTCCCACCCAATCCTAAATAAACAAGAGAAGAGATCGCTATGTTTCTAGACCTTGTTTTTTAAGACCGCGTCTTCACCACAGAATCAGGCACGTGTTGCTAAACGCATTGAGGGTGCCACCACCATCTACGTCAAGTTTTGTCAAAGTAATTTAATTTTTCTAATTGTAGCCCCTTCAACTCATCTCAGACAGGAAATCCCAGACCACAACTTAAAACCTCCTTGCTTTCCAAAGATGACCACAGCTACATCCACAGCAAATCCAGTAATTGAAAACATATGCTACTCCTAACCCTCAAACAGCTCTTTAAAGAGGTGACGACTGACGAAATATCTTATATTATATACACGTCAAGACTGTGACAGACATTGTTCAAGTTGTCAGCCAACCATTTTTCTCTCCTCTCCTTTCTTTCTGTTTAACTTTTGTTCAAAGCCCCCCCCCCCCCCCCCCCACACACACACACACACCATTTCTTCCTTCCTCTCTTTTGTCACATCCTTTTGGGGGGAAATGGGAAGACAGATTGAGAGAAGGTGTAGAGGATTACAAAAGTTGGAGGGAGGCTGAGAAGCAGCGACTGAATGAGGAAGAGAGATAATTGAACGTCTCATTCATTAAAATGTCAACATGTCAAAGCCAGGGGGTCGTTTTTTATCTGTCTCATCTTTGATAGAAAAATAAGGCTGTATAGAGCTGCTGTCGACTTTAAGGTGAGAAATTGCAACTGGATGAATTCCATTCTTTTCTGATGTGCATAATAAGTGTTTCCACTTGTTACTCTGGCATTAAGACAATTAACTCCAACTTGGGTAATTCTTTCTCTTAGATAGTGAAAGTTGATCACATATTGCTTGTTGTGTTTGACAGGGACTAAACCCATGATTTGCAGTTATTCATGGGATGAAAAAGCTAGAGCTGCCTCATTCAAAATGCAGCAACAAAAGGTTTCAGAGGAACCCCCCCCAATTCTCCTCACTTTAATTTGTGATGCAGGAGGGTTTGAGTGGCTGTAATCAAATTCTGATCCACTTAACAATTGCCAGACAGACATTTCATTTAGTGAAAAAAGGCTTAAAAACAATGAACATGTGATTGGCTGTCTGTGACTAATGACATATGGGATTTTCCTTGGCATTTACATTTCCTGCATGCTTTTAGTCCTCCCTCTTTACAAATAGTGTTTACTGGAATCTGTTTATGGCTTCATGTGAAGTCGATTTGAATAAAATGGGATACATAAATGATCTTTTTCTTCATATTTTCAATTTCTCACCTTTTTAAAAAGAGTTTAGAGTCAGCTACAGTGATTTAGAGCAGCTGTAGGTCAAATACCTGACCTTAGCAGAAGTGTTAATAACTTCAGTGTGTCTGTCATGTATACCCCCTTTACTGTCCAGGTCAAATGTTGTTTTTAATTCACAGTTCTACTTTACAGATGTAATGCTACAAGAATGATTAGGCCAATCAGAGTGGTGAAAAGCAACCTTTTTTTGAATGCACCGATTTTAGTTTATTCTAAAGCCTGCCTCACTGTTCCAAGAAGAAATTGTTAAAAGTCGTCTTATCTTGTTTGAGTGACTTACAGTGTCTGTTGTTGTTGTTTTGTTCCTTTTGTTATTCTAATGTCATGTTACTGTCAGAACGGTTTGTGTTATTATTCTGTCTGTACTTAATAAAAGATTACAGATTAAGCCAAACCATGTTTCCATGATGAAATCAACAATACAAAAACAATTATTCTGTGACATGAATTCAGATAACAAGTTGCCAGAAATGCAAATGATCATCATTTGAATAACAAAAAGTTATCCTTTGGCCTATCAATTAATTTTGTCTAGTACCTCATTTCACACAAGAACAGTCGAGCTCTCTTGGCATTCCTGTGTGAGTAAGCCTTTACTTAACATGGCTCTCCTCTCTAGAGTCCTGTGGTTGTTGTTTTAGGACATCATTACCTGCCAAACCTGCTCCGATGGTTCTTTGTTATTTCAGTTCTGAGGAAATACAGTTGACTTGGTACAGGCTGAACAGGAAATCTATGTTTGAGTTCCTATGGCTGGTAATGAGCTTAACTTGTCAGTATTCCTTAAAAGAGCACAAAGATATGTGTGAATAGGTATCAACTTTAATAGAACAGTATTATGTTAGGTAAACATCAGTCTGCTGTCAATCACCCGTTAATACAGTACAGTAGTGACTAAATCAACGTTTAACATGTTTTCATCTGAAAGTATTTTTCATGTAAGCATTAATATATGTGGATCCCTTTCTTATTACCAAGTAGATTTTTTAAACTGTAATATTTTGTTTACATTTAATTTAAGATAGATAAGGGATGCAAATGACTGAAAAAAGTAAAAGTGGTGTATAAAACCCCAGATGGAAGGACTGTATGAGTGGCTTTGAAAATTATCATTAACTTCATTTAAATGTCTTTTGCTGTTTTTCAGTCTGGCATTGACATCACTAAGATCCTTTCAGCGAAGAAGAAACTCGAGGCTAAAAGGAAGAGGCATGAAAAGAAAAATGACAAAAAAGCAAAGAAAGAAGCCAAGAAGAACAAAGTGGGCATGGTGAGGTTTACCGAAGATAAAACTATGACTCTTCTCTTCTTCTTTAATGTTGTTGTAGTGCACAACTCTGTTTCTGCTTAGCCTGATTGAATCCCTGAAAAATAAAAATGGGAACAATTTCTAATAAAAAAAGCAATGACAGTGTTTTTAATACATTTTGTAATTTCTTCAAATGTGTTTCATCTGTTCATTTTTAAGCACAGCATGTTTACTACGGATCATTAACCTCTCATGTATGCATCATGTCTCCTCCTGTGCAGCAGGGGGAGCCAGAGAGGGAGGTGGAGAAGGACATTGCTATTATTGAGATGCATCCTGAGCCCGACCCCTCTCTCCCGAGAGCCATCGTCCTTGACCTCAGCCCTGTTAACTTCCTGGATACTGTGGGGGTCAAGACAATACGCAGTGTACGGTTACAGAGATCACATTTCCTCATGTACACACACATACAGACAAAGAGGAAGTACTTCTTTGAAGTATTGTCACACAGACATATGGAGTAGTCAGCCAGTGAGAAAAGTAACCTGCTATAGAGGGTCCACCCCCCCCCCCCCTCCCAGAAACCCTACAGAGTTCATTTAAAGATAGAGAGGCACAAGTAATAAAGGGGGGTTTGGAGGTCCTCCCCCAGGAAATTCAGATCATCCAACACTTAATTATATCCATTCTGGTGAATATTTATGCAACTTCTATTACGTCAAAGGAAAAGACAAAATTATTAACTGTTAACAGAAAACACAATGCTGCTTCCTGCATGAAGCTCATGTTGTTGCCAATTGAATCCTTTGTTTCACATGATCATTAGAAAACAAAACTCACAAGAGAATTGTGTTGACGACTTCAACACCTGAATTAAATAAAAAGTTTTAAGAGTTGCAGAGTGACAAACATGACAGCAGCTGAACAGGAAATATAAAATTAGAGATTTCACAATTATGACGTGCATTTTATGTTTGTAATGACAACGGTTTCCTAGCAATATAAATTACTTCATCTCATTTTGAGCTGATACACTTTTCGCCTTTTTTCCAGTACACTCCCATGACAGTTTAAATAACTTAGAAGCTCTGACTGTAGCTGAGAAACGCGGTCTGTTTCGCTCTCTCTCCCTGTCTAAAGTGCTTGGTTTTCTAGCATCGTTTTTATCTGTTACAAACTTTATTATCAATATGTATTAAATAAATCAATCTATACTTGTATAGTGCCAATTCATAATAAATGTTATCTTAATTACTTTACAAAGAGCAGGTAAAAGACCTTACTCATTTTTATATTATCTGCAAAGACCCAACGTTAATTTAACTTTAGACACAACTTACTGACATTATTTCCTCTTTTCTAGATCATTGTACTTATTACTTTCTGATGTACGTCCCTTTGGCTAAATGAAATGTAGAATTGCAGAATCCATCATGAGCACTAAGCAACATTTAGCAAAGTTACGGTGGCAAGAAAAAACGTATTTCTCCCACAATTTTAGTGGAGACGAGTGCTTGTAAAATGTACATGAGGACCAAGTCTTACATTTTATTTTTAGAATCAACGGTCGCAAAAAGTAATCAGCTGTAAGTAAGTCACTAGTTGGCTGTTTGTCCAACAGCTGGCACTTAAACGTACAACTGGAATTTAACGTGCAATCTTTTGTGGATTTGCATTTATATATGTATCACATTTAGCAACCTTTCTTCCAATAACCTTTAGTGTCTAAAACAAAATTCCTGATCATAACAAAGACTTTTCTTAGCTATACTCATGAGTATATCCAAACATCTTTTTTTAAATGATTGCTCGTATCAAACAGATGGACAGTTGATGACGGCTGATAATGGAATTTAACCCAATAAGACGATATTATCTAAAGCTTAAAAAAACACGATGAAAATAGAACATTACTTCAAAAATAAAATTTAAAAAAAAGAATTCTCCTCCTCTCATCCCTCCCTCCCTTCCTTCATCATTTAGCTCCTCGGGCATTCAATTAGTGTAAATTGAATTGTGGGATGAATGAAATGATCCCCAGTCTGACCTTTGCTCTGTGCTTCTGTGTCTGTTTCAGATCCACAAAGACTACGGGCAGATTGGTGTTGAGGTGGTTCTCGCGTGCTGCCAAAGTAAGTTCCTTTTTCATTCTGAGAACATTATAGTCAAGTAATTTAACCAGCTGTGAGGATTCTAGCTTCACCTTGTTTGATAACATAAATCAGGAAAGTTGAAAACCCCTGGAGACCATGACAGCTATGTTACAGTTAACAGCTGTTTGTATGAACACAGAGCTACCAGTGTAAAAATGAACATGTATCTTCTTTATAGTTTGGGTTGTTTAATCCTTAGACTCCATTTACCTTCTTAAAAGCGTCTTTACTCTTTGGAAGAACCTTTTTTATTTTAGTCGTTAGTGTTCCCATGACAGCCATCATCATCCTTGGATTTTTTTTGTTCTATCAAAAAAAATGTATGTTTAACATTCATGCTCAAACTCATGCAGTCACACACAATTTAAATTCTTTCAACAACACTGGATGTTGTTTTAGCTGCTTTCTGATGTTATTGTAACGTGTAGTCATTCACTCCATAGCTGGTATGCCTCAAAGGATTTTCATGTCTGGTTTGATGTGAAATATCAGCTGTTAAGAAGATATGAGTCCTGAGCAAAAAAGGACAAGAAAAATACTTCAGTATGGTGGGCTGGTTTTGTTTTGTTTAATGATCTTTTTCTGTTTTTACTTTATCATTTGAGCCTACAAATTTGGTCTGACTTGTCTGATATGGGAAAATATCGGTCTCCAGGAGAAACAATCCCAATGCTGGAAGCCATAGTTATTTCAGAGTAGTAGCTGTTATTAGCCTGCCAGTGCTGATAGCATGTTTTATGAAAAATAGTTGAATGTGAGTGACTGGGCATAAAAAACACACTGCGATGAATATTTATACGGCCAGGAATAATAGCAAGGTTCAATCAGTGCCAGGGCTAAATCTCCATTCCCACTCAGTCTGCCTTTTTTGGGTCTAATTTTCTGTCTCCAGCTTTAATTGTCCCACTTTTTCAATGTCAATGTCCCTGTTATTCCTTCCATTTCTTATCCTGACAGAATCGCTGTCTTTCTTTTATGGCTCTGTCTGTGTATTTATTATTCCATGTCTGTCTCTCGCTCTCTCTAGCCGGTGTGGTGGACAACCTGCAGGCCGGGGGTTTCTTTAATGACAAAGTGACAAAGTCTTGTCTCTTCTCCACCGTCCATGATGCTGTTCTGCACTGTCAGTCCTTCATTACACAGAGCCGAGGAGAAGCATTGTACGAGGTGAGTGAGATCCGAGGAAAGGTCCAAGCGTTCATTCATCTATCAAGCAAATCCTTCTGTCATGCATCCCAAAGTAGAATACTCAAGCATGAAAAAGAGATTGCAGGTTAACTTTTAGTGATAATTTGATGTTACATGATTTGGGCCTGGTTTGTTGAGGATTGAAGCCGTAAGCGTTTATCTATTTAAATTCATTTTAGTGTTACTGTAACTAATTACCATGATATTCATGGTAGAGGTAGAGAATAAGATCTCTTATGAACATACTGTTCATTACTGTCCAATATGTGGTGTGTATTTTACATTCCTGCCAGTAATGGTTCACATGGACTAAGTCGTTTGATTTTTGTTTTTGCAATGTTCATTGAAACTCATTGATTTCTGTCCTTAAACCTGTATTTATCAATACAAGTGATACTTTTGTGCAGCTCTTCACCCATAACACTCACAGTGACATGCAGTTTTTTTTATAAATACGGTGGGGCTAATGTGTTAGCAAGCACTTAGCATTTTGAATATCAGGACAAAGAGCATGCATATCATTATAATAATTTCAGGGTTATAATTGATAGAAATCCAAATATCCACTCCCCTTTTGGCTCCTTTTCCCAATTCCTGAATTAATATCTGATTCTTTAGCTGCTTAATGCTCCTCCATGTTTACTTCCTGTTTCCATCTGCTGTATGCTCAATGACCGACATCGTCCATTGGATTTTAAGTACTTATTCAAATAGAAAAGATGGACTAGCTAAACAAATATTGATCGGAGTTGTTATGTGTGGACTTATTTAATTAGTATTTCCATTGTAAATACTCCTTGTTGTTTCGGTCTGGCTTCCACGTCAATCATTTACAATTTCCATGCAACCAGAGTTATAACAGCTGCTTGGCTACACATGCGTTGTAAAATACTGGGATGTAAACCAAACACACACACCCAGCTATAATTATGATATGATTATATTAGTTATTAAAACTGGCAACACTGATGAAGGCTTTGTGCCGAAACACCTCCGTTGTTGATCTGTACGCTGCTGCTCTAGCCAGATTATAACACTTTAAAGAACATGCTGACTTTTCTGTTCTTGTGTAAGTCTTTTCTTGGTCGTGCACCTGAAGATTTGTTACTGTTTGAGTGCCTTGTTGTGCACATGGGGGATTTGAGATACTATAATGAAGTTGAAAATTAATTACAAAAATCTCATTTCTAATTTCCCATCTCTTTGCTCACTTAATTTAAGAAAATGACTGAGTTCCCTCAGCATCTTTAGCCAAAATTAATTATAATGAAAAATAATTTTTGTTGCATATTGATTAGTTAATTGATCCTACACTGTTTATGTTATGTTAAATTGGCTGCAGATAGACTGCACATTCATTTTTCAAATAATGTTTCATTTTAATGTGTTTTTTCACTATGTTGATGCAAATTCCCCTTTTTACTTCATTCACATTCATTTTTTTACATCAAACCTTCTGCTCATCGTGTGTGTGTGTGTGTGTGTGTGTGTGTGTGTGTGTGTGTGTGACTGTTTATCTCACTTATACACCTGCACTTCCATGCAGGTCTGCATATTATTTAGCCAGTTTGTGCTTTTGTTTTTCCGCCTGTTCTGTTCAAGCATTTAGCTGTGTGCGTGACTTTATGTTTCTGCTCCCATGGAGAAATCTAACAAAGAACAAAGACATGGCAACGGTCCATGAGACACAGTTTAAAGAAGCAATGACTTCATGGGAGGAACAAACACAAAAACACACATGACACACAAAATACAGAGGATGTTAGGGAGTTGATGTCTCAGAGCAGCATGTGGTCAGTCGAAAGGAACACGCACACACACAAACACACACATGCACACATACACACATACACACGAACACACAAGGTAACATGGATGCAGGCATGTGCAAATGAATGAGTAGATGCATGCATATGAATTGATATATGCAGCACACACACAGATACAGTCTTACAGAAGCATTTAAGCATATCAGAAAAGTCTTAAATTCACCCTTCAGGCTCATCAGAGGGGCAATGTAACATTTGGTGAATGCAGGAAATGACAAAGTGCAAAGCGATGCAGATATAAAACAGTTTGACTCAGTACCATTATTTCTGAGATTGCTGCACGCTGAGACAATATATCAAACAAAATGTTGACAGCCCCGTTCTATTCTGTTCCTCTTCTACTGAAACGTTCACACCCTTCTAGAGGAAATGAAAGTCATGTATGTATTTTGAAAAAAAGTCTCTTTCATTCTCTGTCCTGTCCTCCTTGTGCGTGTGTGTCTGCTTCACCCCCTTGGTTCTTCCTCTCTGTTTGATCTCTCCTGTCCTTTTTTTTTTTCTATTTCTCAGGAGATCACAGGGACACATTTCTGAGTCCTGAGAGGAACGGTGGAGGACATCATGAAGCGTACATGGTCTGCATGGGGATTTACCCTGTGAGTTTCTGATCACTGGAACTTCTTTCAGTTACACACAGTAACAAAATACTTGAACAAAAAAAAAAATGAACAAAATGTGAAGACCAGCTACAGTCTTACTGTAATATGCCATCTTAAATTATACGACTCTGGCTAACTGTGTGAGCTATTCTTTTTTTTAATTAAGTTATTATGCTGCTTTTTAACATACAATAATCTGAAAATGAATACCTGTATTTCTAAGAATCTAAACATCTGCTGATGTTGATGTACTTCAATGAAAAATAAATGCTTTTATTTAGTCAGACGCTTTTCTTGGTTCATTTTGTTCAGGAAATCTCCAAATACCTCAGGAAATACTTTGTTTATCTGACTTTTCAGTGCATTTATTTACACTGTACGAGGAGTTGTTTCCAACATTTATTTTGCAGAAGCAAGACGTGTTCATTATAAAAACTTAAGTGCACATACTTAAACAGACAATATTTTGTTACATGATGTATTAGATGGCAATCAAAGCCGTAACCACCACAGCGGTTCCCACAGCAGCACACAATGCATCATGTATCATTGTGTTCACGAGTTTAGACAGAAAGGACTTCATATTTACAGATACAACCGGCCATGTTTTTCAAATGATTTATTTAAGGTTTTTTTACGAGATAAACAGGACAGTGGAAAGAGAGAGAGGAAGAGAGACAGAGAGAGAGAACGAGAGAGAGAGGGGAATGACATGCGGGAAAGGAGCCACAGGTCGGATTTGAACCTGGGTTCATCTGCTCCGAAGATTACAGCCTCTGTACATGGGGCACACTGACTAACCACTACTCTCCAACCAACCATGTTTCAGAGAACTTTTCTTCATATTTGAAACACATGCATGATGTTGGATTGTCATCTCTATGGGGTCTGTTTGTCTCATTGTAAGAAATATAAAATGCATTTTTTGTGAGCTTATGTCTGTAAGCTGTTGAAGTAGTGGGAGGTGACTGATTTCAGTGCTCCACTTACGTATATTTGCAACCACAACAGTCCTCAGTTAACTACAACCAGGTAAATGACTCATAGTTTATTGGAACAGGAACTCTGAATCATAATCGAAACGACTAAACTTTCCAGTAAACGCAAACACAATATTGAGTTTTGTGGAGTTTTCTTTTTAACACCAAGGCTGGATTCACTTACAGATTTAAAAAAAAATAATAATTTCTCCCTGACAAATTACTCCAGAAATGTAGCACTGTAATCTCATGGAGTCACTACAAATAGCTTTGCCTGTGTTGGAGGAAGAATTGTATGCTTCTACAAGCTCTGTGGAGTTCACAGCAAGTATTTGATCCCAGTGTAATATACAGTATATTACTGCTAATGTTCAGCAGTAGTCCTTTGGACTTTTGTTTAAGTAGCTTGAAGCACAACTCCAAGTGAATGCTAATACTGCTTTGTGTCGCTATGTGCATGCAGGATGTTTAAAGAGGCAACTGCTTTGCTCACAAGTTAACCACACCTGCTAACAAGTCAGTCACAACACTGGTGCCCCTTCTGGTTTTTCTTGTTAACAAAGATCATCTCTATTGACAATCAGGGCACATTTTGTACATCCTTGTGGTCTAAAATAAGCAGAATGTATTACTTCTATTAAAAACACTTATTATTTACCCTTTAAAGTAGTTTAACATAGTAAGCATAACTTCACTCTGCATCAAGGAAGCAAAACTACAACAATTTAAACATTAAATTGAAACATTAAAGTTTGCAGATCATTGAAAAAGTCACTGGTATTTTTGAGAGGGTCTTTCAAAATGCAGGACGTCATCCAAAGACTTACACATTGATCAGAAAAGCCTGCTCTTTTTTGAAGACAATGACCTCTGATATTTTGATTTAGTATGGAGGAATTGCCCTTTCATCAGGCGGAGGCTTTAAAGGGAACCAGGAGGCAGAGAGGCTGATGCACATGATTCTAATAATACAAATCAGTGTTTCTGGTATGTACGAAATGTGAACCATGTGGACTCAACCATGAGCATGTTTTTTTTTTTCTTTTTTTTTACAGTGAATGAGACAAATAGAGGATAGAGGAATCTCCGCCTCTCGAGAAAATGTGTGATGTGTGTTTGACAGAGAGAGAGAGCGAGAGAGAGAGAGAGAGAGAGAGAGAGAGAGAGAGAGAGAGAGAGAGAGGGAGGGAAAGGGTGTGTGTGTGAATACTTATTTAGGTTCTCCCCAAACGGCGCTCAGTGCATTCTTGTCTTGACGGGTGGCAGGAGCACAGCATCAGGGTGAGAGAGAAAGAGAGAGAAAGAGAGGGACATTGAGAGAGAGAGAGAGAGAGAGAGAGAGAGAGAGAGAGAGAGATACATTGGATACATAGAGATAGAGAGTGAGTGGGATAGTAGAGTCCGAGAAGAAGCTGAAACTTCACTGCAGACGCTCCTGCACAGGTCGGTTCCATCTTCATGATATTCTTATGATCTTTTTCTTTATTTCTGCGTCTAGATACTGAACGTTGCATAGGCTACGCGTAACTCATATGGGACATTTTCATGGACACGCACGTATAGCCTATTTCATCTCCAGCATCAGCTTTCAATCACTAAAGCTTCTGGATTACAAAGATGTACTGTAACTTGTTTTGCACCGATGCAAATACAACCTTTTCTCTGGCATCTTCCATTCATGTCTTTCATCAAACTTGCAGATGCACCGCCGTACAAGTGGAACAGCGCGTATTCTACTTGTATAGTCACAGACATCGATCAAAGCAGTCAAGACAGTTGAATCGATTCGCTACATGCTGTTGTGGCAGTTCCCGACACATATGGATCGCAAATGTGTGCCGTCTCTGTAAACGTGTAGCCACTTATGGTCGTTATGTGGAGTGTTTCCAATGTGCAGGACGATGGAAACGGCTGATTGCAGTAAAGGTGAAAACAAAAGGGAGGTTTTGCGCACACATGTTATTAATCCACTTATAAACCTGCAAGTTTAGCCAGAATGATACGATATGTGGTGCACTAATTCATTTTAATGAATGTGTTACGCTAGGATCCTGTCACATAATGAGCCATATTTCAGGTAGCCTAATTTAAAAACATTCCGTTTATCCGCATTTTGATGTCTCCAAAGTGATAAACAATAGAAACGTTCATAAAAACAACACCAGGTGTTTCAAGACAGAAGCAGTGATTAACCCTTAAGGTTGCATTGTGGTAATACCTACCTACAGATTTAAAGTCATATAATTGCCCAATGCTGCCATTAAACTGTCATGAAGTCCGAGGCTGCAGGACACTTAACTTGAACAACCTGAAAGACGACACCTGATCACCTCAGGAAAGGGCTTCACACCAGAGCTATTTTTACCTCCTACGGTGTGTCAGGCGGCACACACACACACACACACACTGCCCTCTGCATTGTAATGCTGCACATGCCGTGAACACTTTACGTAGATAGCCTATAGTATCCAGCTGGACCTGATGCCAGGGAAGCGTCATGAGTAATGGCTGAGAGGAGAGAGAAGGGGGAGTGTGCTTCAGTGTTGCAGGAAAAAAAGGTGTGTTTGTGTGCATCGTTGCAGATTGTTACAGTGACAGTGGTTGTAAATCAGCATCATTAACATACTATGGAATTTAGCATTTTATATGCATTTTGGATTTTAATATAAATGCCAAATACTAAAAAAGATTTTAAAAATGCCTTATACCCTCTTTATTGTCTGTCATTATCCCTCACATTGCTTCCATATCACATACATTAAATTTGACAAACTATAAGCCTATCTTATTACTGGCTATTGAGATCTCATCACATTTTCTATTTTCTTGTTTTTTCTTATTTCGTTTCTTTTATTTAGAACAAAAATACAATTGTAGCCTATTAATAGCTTTAAGTGGATGCTGAATATCGCAGCATTGAAAATAATGTATTTTCAGTTTGCTTGATACACTGAATTATTTCTTTATTTCCCGACAATAGGCTATGTTGTAACTAGAATTATGGAGATGAAAATAAAGCTAAGTTAAATTGAAGAGAGAGCGAGAGAGAGAGAGAGAGAGAGGGGGAGGGAGAGAGAGAGAGAGAGAGAGAGAGAGGAGAGCATATGGTGCTGTGACGTAACGCCGGTCGTCGCGGACGCTTTGACAACATTGCTGTGTGTGTGTTTGTGTGTGTGTATTCCTTAGGATAAGATCCAGAACACCTACTAACCGTGTGCATGGCAATCACGCGCATTAGAATAAGCTGACTGAACTACAACAATGAACGCTGTAACCGCCGCCACCTGCCTGCTCGTCGCCGGCTTCAGCTGCTACCTCTACGGCAGCGACTGGCTCTTATCGCTGCTCCGTCTCTCTGTTGCAGAACTCTCCATGCCTGAGCCCGGAGCTGCTCCGCGGCGGAGCCCGCAGGGAGTCCCTTACACCGAGCTGCAGCACATCGTCAACGCCGACGGACTGCACCTGTTCTGCCGCTACTGGGAGCCCGCCAGCCCGCCAAGGTGAGTGGACAGTGGAGCGGAAAACTATCTCAAAGAATGCGCCTTTTAATCATACCTGTCCCGTGTGTGTGTGTGTGTGTGTGTGTGTGTGTGTGTGTGTGTGTGTGTGTGTGTGTGTGTGTGTTTAGTCTGACTAAAGAGTTCATGTCAAGAGTTGTTTCGTGCCACACTAATCCGTTTTGAGGAAGTTGATCCCTTTCACATGGTTTTTCAAGAGTCACATGAGTCACTTTCTTCAGGTCCTTCTTGTTAATCTTTAGATGCCTCTATACCAACACCAGTATGACTCCACATTCATCAGTTACAGTATGTGTCTGTTATTTAGGTTTTCATCTTCAAACATCTACCTACAGTCATTCCAGCTCTGTGAGTGGTCACAGAACTATCCAATCACAATCCTTTATCAATCAATCAATCTTTATTTGCATTGCTCTATTTCATGACAAATGTTATTTCAAGACACTTCACAAAGAGAGCCTGTCTAGACCATGCTCATTATCATATTTTCATATTTACAAAAGACTCAACATTAATCCACCATGAGAGTATGCAAAAACAATGGCCAGAAATAAAATGCCTTTAAGAGACAGAAACCTTGTGCAGAACCAGACCCATGACTCAGGTTCAGCTGTGTTGGGCTTGGCCTGTATGGTACTTTGTTGACTCTTAGAGAATCTAAGACTCTGACCTAACAGTGATCCATGTTTTAGCAATTGATTCCCCTCAGTTTTAAGGAGTTTATAGAAAGTCATGTAAAGGTCCTAGTAGTCGGAATCCTTATTTAATCAGCAGTTTAATTCTCAGCTTAATGTAACATAACTAACATATCTATATGTGGTAGACTAGTATACGTATATGGACAGTTTAGTTTCGCTCTTTGGTCCAAGCTCGTTAAAAACAAAATTAATTATGTTAATCTCCTTTCCTCATTGTGTGACACCAGATGCACCAGAAACTCATACTGGGTCATGACCCCTTTAAAACAAAACGACCAAGGAACAGACATCTTCAACCCAGTAAACACGTGAAAACACAGGAAATAAATCTGACAGAAAAATGTTTGAGATCATGTCTAGACTCCATTTCTGACAAATATTGGTCAGATCCATGTCTGGGAATGAAACAAAATAAATGAAGTTGAAGATTTCATATAAAGTCACAGACAGATAAAATGTCATGGAAAGCCACAGGTCATAAGGAGCCACAACCCAGATTACACAGTCACACTGTCTGTTTAATAAACTGGTGATATAAGCATCAGGTCAGACCGCCTTTTTTTACTCCCCTGAAAAGGAAATGTTGGACATCAAATTTCAATGCCAGTCTCTGAAAACCTGCATGTTTTGAGGTTGCTCCTTGTATTTGCATTATATAAAGAGCAGCATCATAGTTCATCTGCAAAAGGTCTGACATCCTGACTCATCAGGCATTCTGCTGTAAGAAAGAGTTTTATTTGAAATATCTCTTGGATAGCTGGAAAAACATCAGACAACAACTAAATTAATGGTTCCAGTTAATGACATAAAAAAAGTCTTTGTAGTTAAAATGTGATAATTTCTACAGTCTGCTGTTTGAGGCCTCTTTGACGTGCACTCCAGTCCTCCTGCACCCTCTGCACCCTCAGCACATGTGCATGAAACGCAACACAGATGGCACACTTGCAAATCACATAGTTGCATGCGGCGTGAGAGCACAGAAGGAGAAAGATGGGACAAACAGGAGGCCCACAAAACATCTGGAGAGCAGATATAACTGTCACATAACTGACACTCACACACACAAATATAGACTACACACAGGCTCACACATTTCAGTGGAGCAGTGACTCATTAACTGACACTGTGTCTGAGCCTCTGCTGTATAATCACTCTATAAAATGTTGCTTAATAGTTTATAATAGCAAGTGTGAGTCCTTGGTTTTAATGCATTTTAACATAGAGGAGGTTGTTTCACTGTGCAAAGATATCTGTGGATGAAAGGAAACATGTTGGGATGTTGTGCTGGATAAAACTCCTCTGCCTGAAATGCTCTGGCAGCTAAACTGTACATGACTCTGCACAGGCAGAGGGGCAAACATTTGACCTTATAATTACCCACAATGCCACTGAGAACTGAGGCCTCTCTGTTATGAAATAGCAACCCATTGGTCCCCTGCCCATGCCCACACTCCCACAGAAACAAGAACATCTATACTTTTGCACCAACTTGCTCATATTTAAAGCTTGTCACCAAAAAATGGAGAAAATAAATGAGCCAACTCTCAAAATGTTTCCTGCTGTCTGCCAAGAGCACCTTTAAACATAATAACATGCCATTTTTAAGCATTGCAGCGTTATTTTCCCATCTTTAAAATCGTGTTATTTGGAGATAAAAGTCTGAATAACTACAGGCTTAAAATAGCTGCAGATCCTTCAGCATTGTGGCTGTTTAAGAGCCAAGGACTTGGATGGCTTACATAAGAGCCGTCTCACTGGAGGCCAGCCAGTGACCATGCTAGAGATGCATTCAGTCAGACAGAGTGAACCTGCAGAGTCCATTACATGTGGTCTATTGGTCATACAAGCTAGCTTTGAAAACTTTAAAAGCGGATGCCATTATCTGTGGAGATATTTTGTGATGAGTGTCCTTAAATTTGACTCCTTCAGTGCAATTTAAAACAAAGTATTCAGCTTTTCCACGAAGATTGTACACCGACTCCTTTGTGAAAAAAAGCTTAACCAGCTGGATCTAGATTTTTCAAACGAGAGATTCTGCACTACAATCCAGGCTAATTAAATTCTTAAGCTGAGCTTGCAGCAACTAAACGCTGTGTGAGGTCTGATTATTGCAGGTTTTACAAGCTGACTAAAGTTAAATCACATCCTCCAAACTGATTTATTAGTCTTAATATGTAGTAGTCTGTGTGTTTCAGGTCATCAGGGAATGTTAGTTGGTACCTCTAACAGTGAGCTCAGCATTTCCTGAACATGCTGCACTCTAAATCTCTTAATTTTAAACTCAAAGTTACAGGCAGAGCATCACCAGAGAGTAAAACTGCTGAGCAAGTATCACAAATCGCAGAGACACCACGAGCTGTTGTCTGTCGTACTTCCTACACTTTACTGTGAAAGAAATTCTTTGATACACACGCCTCCTGTTTTTACACAAACTGCCTCTGCACTCTGATGTTTCAAAATAAAAGAGCTGTCTATGGTCTGGATTGATGCGGCTTCCTACGATGTCGCATAATGAGCCACAATGCCAGTAATAATTGTAAAAGAATGTGTGGTACAAGCAGTAACAACAAAGTGCGATAATAGACTGATCAGACTAATATTAACATCAGCAACCATATGACAATGAAATGGGGAGGAATGATAATAACAGTTATAGAGGTTGATGAGCTATTAGATTCACTTTGACATTTATAATAATGATAATGATCGTAAGACTGATTATAATAGTTACAGGCCGAACACATCGACTTTTACACCAAATGAGTAATTGAACATGTTGTAACATGGTGTCTCAGAACCAAATGATGACATCTTGGTCTCTGTGAATGCATCTTTGTCCCTAGTTTATAGGATGTACATATTTAAGCAAAACATTTATTAAAGCCCCTTGTGAGTAACATCAAGTCTGTTTTGATTTTGGCGCCCCCTGTGGACAAAGCCAGAGTTAGTAAAAGAGGTGACTCTATCTGCCCAGTAACAAAACATCTCAGTAGTTAGGTGTACTAGATGCCAGCATTAAGTTGATATGACACGACACATAAACATCGGCATGCTGACATCAGCTCATGCCACATTTTTTTCCGATGTGCTGATTTCTGTCAACAGGACCAAAATCGGCCGATACTGACGTTGAACCGATGCATTGGTGCATCCCTAGCTTTAGCGATGTATGGATTATGAACAAACTTGCAGATGATTCACCAGCATCACACCAGGTGGAGATTGGTGAATACCAGGCCTACAATTAAGAAGACCATTTTTTTTAACAGCCTGACAGTTGTGATTTATCAGTTGGTTAATAATCCCTCAAATGTTGGAGAAGAAAAAAACAGGCATATGGGAAGGCACCTGTAGTCATTTATTGCAGTTAAACGTTATTTTTTATTTAGCATGGATAAAGGTCCAAAAATCATTCAACTTGATTTGAAACATTGTTATGTATCTGTGGATAAGATTGACTCAAAGGCCACATGCCTCTGAAAAGCCCCTTTCAATAGAACCAGGAAGTAGGTGAAAGGTGGAGGGGAGGAGGGGAGGGGCATCAATAATGATTGACAGATCTTCCAATAGATGTCCAACTAGAACCCACATGGAGACCAGTAGACCAACCATAGTTGAATGACCACCCTTTTTATAGCATGAAGAACAAACACACACACACACACACACACACACACCCACCCACCCACCCACCCACACACACACACACACACACACACACACACACAGCTTATGTAAGGAGATGGTGCTGGTATTGATGTTTCTGCTGATGCTGCTGAGATTCTAGATGGAGCTTCCTTCCCTGTTCGTGTTTCTACAGCCAAACTGTTTGATTCCCTGCAGCTTGCTCTCACTTTTATTCTTAACAGGGGACGTTTGTTTTTACCAGCCTAAACGCTATCTAATGGTTCTTTTTGCATGTACGCTTGGGAGGAAATTTGGCTGACTACTACACTAGAATACACGGGCCTCTTTTTCCAATAAAATTCATTAGTAGGAGTTTGCATTTGCCAGCTGAGATCATTAGGTATGGGTTTATGTAAAAAGAAGCTAAAGTCAGCACTTCAGAATCAATTTTCATTCCACTGTTGCTCATATTCTGCGATTTTGCACTTTTATTAATTCAGTCATAGTACATTAGAATATCTGCAATACCAGCATTCACTATATTACAATATAAGCTGACACACAGATAGTGTTCATTCAACACCGTATTATACCGTGAGTATGATCACCATTAATTGGCTTGATTTCTGCTACCATGCAGTTGTATTAGTTATGAGG